TCACAGAGGGAGCTACTATCTCATCGTACAGTCCTCCTCGACCATCTGAAAAACCTGGGCCTCTCTGTCAACTGGACAAAGAGCGCACTTCAACCCAGTCAGACTATCTCCTTCTTGGGTATAGAGCTAGACTCGGTCTCGATGACGGCTCGCCTGTCTACACAGCGCGCGCGCCGTGTGCAGCGCCTCGCCGCATCCTTTCAGATGAACAGACTCACACCTCTGAAAACTTTTCAGAAGGCGCTGGGTTACATGGCCTCAGCCTCCGCAGTGCTCCAGCTGGGGTTACTGCGCATGCGCCCGCTTCAGTTCTGGTTGAAGAGCCGTGTGTCTCACCGCGCGTGGACCACGGGCCACCAGCTGATAAAGGTAACGCAGACCTGTATCACAGCTCTGCAGCCATGGACCATGACAGAATGGTTTCAGCGGGGCGTTTCCATGGGGACCTTTTCTCGCCGAAAAGTCATTTCGACAGACGCATCCAACATGGGTTGGGGTGCGGTCTGCGAGGGCTCACCGGCCTTCGGCCTCTGGTCAGCTCAGGAGAGTCTCCTCCACATAAACTGTTTGGAGATGCTGGCGGTCGAGAACGCGCTCACGCGCTTTCTGCCGCGCATTCACGGTCACCATGTGCTGATCCGTTCGGACAACATGGCTGTGGTCTCCTATCTAAACCGTCAGGGCGGTGTCAGATCCAGAATGCTCTTTCGGCTGACAGAATGCATCCTAGTTTGGTCCCAGTGTCACCTGCTCTCGCTCAGAGCGACGCACGTGCCGGGCCATCTGAACGACGGTCCAGACAGTCTGTCCAGGAACCCCATTCCCCCTGGCGAATGGTCCCTGCACACTCTTACAGTCCAAAAGCTGTGGCGAATATTCGGCAGAGCAGAGGTGGACCTCTTCGCCTCAGAAGAAAACACCCACTGCCCAATATTTTTCTCAAAACGCGAGGACGCGCTAGCCCAGACCTGGCCCAGCCGCCCGCTTTATGCATTCCCTCCGGTGTCTCTGCTACCACAGGTGCTTCAGAGAATCAGGGAAACACGCCACTCGGTGCTCCTCATAGCCCCGCGTTGGGAAGGTCAGACTTGGTTTCCGGAGCTCACTCAGCTGTCACAGACAGCCCCGTGGCCCATTCCAGTCAGAACAGATCTCCTCTCCCAAGCTCGCGGCACGATCTGGCATCCCCACCCAGAGCGCTGGGCGCTGCATGCGTGGGTGATCAACGACTACCCGTTGCTTTGCCAGAAGGAGTGTTAAACACGATCATGCAGGCTAGAGCGGATTCGACTAGAAGGCTCTATGCGTCTAAATGGTCTGTGTTCTCTAAGTGGTGCACCGACAGAAACTTGGACCCACGGTCATGCGAGGTTCCTTCCTTGCTAGTTTTTCTCCAAGAGATGCTGGATAAGGGCAGGTCCCCTTCCACTTTCAAGGTGTATGTGGCAGCCGTCGCAGCGTTCGCTGAACCCCGGCGCGGCCAGTCACTGGGCAAAGATGGCTTAGTCATCCGCTTCCTCAGGGGAGCTAGAAGGATGAACCCCTCACGCCCCCCGTCGGTGCCGATTTGGGACCTTTCCATAGTTCTCGAAGCTATGAAAGCCCCCCCATTCGAACCGTTAAACACCGTGGAGCTCAAACACCTTTCGCTCAAGACTATCTTTCTGCTCGCGCTCGCGTCAGTGAAGCGTGTGGGGGACCTTCACGCGCTGTCCAGCAGCGCTTCCTGTCTGGAGTTTGGGCCCAATGACTCCTTAGTCGTTCTCAAACCTAGACATGGTTATGTCCCAAAAGCGATTGGTACCCCATTCAGGGCACAAGTTATTTCTCTATCGGCTCTGCCTGCATCCGATAGCGAATCTGACTCTAATCTCCTGTGTCCGGTCAGGGCCCTGAGATTATACTTTACTCGCACTGCTCCGGTCAGACGAGCTGAGCAGCTTTTTGTTTCGTTCGGTGGGCGCACCAAAGGGTTGGCCGCCTCGAAACAGACTCTGTCCAGATGGATAGTTGATGCCATTGCAGCCGCATACGCTTCAAAAGACCTGCCATGCCCTCTGGGCATCAGGGCCCATTCCACTAGAGGCATGGCCTCATCGTGGGCTTGGTCCAGCGGAATTTCCATTCATGATATTTGTGTGGCAGCGGGATGGGCTTCCCCCTCCACCTTTATCAGATTTTACAATCTGGAAGTTCCCGCCTTGCAGGCTAAACTACTAGCAGTCTAGTATGTTACAGCTCTTCTGGTTGAGCTGCACTATAGGGAGTTATTCACGCAGACCGGTCTCGTTCTGTCCCTCCTTATCATGTGCTTATGTACTTCACAATCCCCGGCCCGCTCCGCTGGCCGTTGTCACATGTACATATTTTATTCCCACTCATAAGGGTTCCCCGGGGTCCCCCCTGGGACTCATAGTGGATGCTTAGCACGCACGGCGTTGACCAGGTGTTCCTGTAGCGTAAGCTAGCTTACGCAATACGAGAGAACCTCTCGTAAGAGAACGAATCGGTTACCTAACGTAACCTCGGTTCTCTCTAGATGAGGGAACGAGTATTGCGTTCCTGGCCGTGCTTGTGCTACTAGCGTTCTCGCTTCATTCTATGAAAACCAGAATTTACAGCCTGAGAGGTGAATTTATACTCTCTGACCACGCCCGTTTCGGCGGGCTCTGACGCAATGAGAGCAGGTCAGTCTCTCATTGGCCGAGAGTTCATTCGTGTCTCCTCATAGGCTTAAGCAGTTCCCTGTGAGCGAGCCAATGAGCTGCTAGCTAGCCTGCTCATGCTCTGCTGCAGCTGAACTGCGTTGACAATAGATACAAAATTATAGGATAATTTTTGGCTTCAATTTCTCAGAAAAGATGAATCTTTCCCGTGCCGTAAGCTAGCTTACGCAATACTCGTTCCCTCATCTAGAGAGAACCGAGGTTACGTTAGGTAACCGATTCGTTTCACTGCAAACTGCGCGCAGCCAATGGGCGTATGAATCGTCATCACGTAGCATTACGGCACAGTGTTCATGGGAAATGTAGGAAGTACTGCCAGAGGGATAAATGACCGAGAACAGAGCCTGATGCATAACCGGCCAAACTGGCTAGTAAGTTTTTATTAACACCCGCCAAAATGAATTTTAACCCGCATTTGGCGGGTTGGCGGGTGTTAATTTAGAACCCTGGTGATATTACGTTTTGATTTGACGCGGAAGGATTCAGAAGGAGCACCAGGCTGGCTGCAATTTGACGGTGTATGCAACATTTTTTTAACAATAGCCTATCACGCTATCATTGATAATGCATCTATTTATCTGAGGTGCCGGCCCACTTTAACCCCTGTATATACACACACACGTTTAAAGTCGTTTCATGCAAATATACAGCAACACACACACACACACACACACACACACACACACACACACACACACACAGGTAAAGTGCCATAGTGTTATTCCTTCTTTGAACACTAGAGGGTACATAGTTAGGAAAGGACTCGTAAAGCAGATCACGAATTCATGCCTATCTGTCAGGTCTGACCAGTTGTTCTTGCTTTGGCTAATTGTTCATGGATTCGATTTATAAATCAGCCTCGTATTGTTGTTTGTTTATGGTGTTTCAATACACAGTTGAAAGGTAGAAAGAGCCTGAATACAATCACTTGAAATGTATTGCTACTGCTACCTTTACAGTTTCTTAATTAAATCTAAGTTAATCTAGTTAAATCTATATTCTCCTCCAGCAATTAAATGCATATTTTTTTAAATACATGTAGGCCTACTTACATGTAGTTTTTGTAATGATGTTTGCACGCCACTGAATGTAGCATTGGATTCAATGTGGGAAATGTGTATTTTTGACTAAACATGGAATTGGTGTTTTTGAGCAAATCTTCGAATTGAATGAATCGTTCATTTTTGATGCACCCATTTCGCTGAATGCGTTTTATTGGTTGTACCTACTGAACAAAAACGCCCCCATGCCCATTCGAGTCAATAACAACATGAACGAAAGAAGTGGGGATATAGGCTATGAATCGTTCAGTTTTTTTTCTTACATTTATTAAATGTCTTCAAATTATCTTTCTAATCCGTCTGTCTGTTTGTCTGTCTGTCGACTGATTAATTAGACTAAAGCAGGGCTTTTCAAAGTGGATCGAGTGGTAAAAGGTGGGTCACTTAATTGGCTGCAGCTAAATTTACGTTTCAGTCATGACACGCAATGTTGTGAAGATTAATTTGGAGATTAAAAGTTACGCTATTTAAAATGTAATAAGTAGGCCTAGCTATGTTTAACTATTTCAATTACTTTATTCGTGTAATGTAATAGTTTTCAACTGTTAATCATTTTCAAACATAGTGCTGCTGTGTGAGTTGCTTTTGAAGTAGGTCTAATTGTATGGGAGAAAAGGGAAACATTTTGTGAACCGGTCTGAAAGTTTAAAAAGATTGGTATAGTACAAGTAGCCTTGTTGCCACCTAGTTCAATGCAAATAAATGATAGGCTGTTACTGTTTTACACCGTGATATGTGTGTAACTATTTCAATTACTTTATTCACGTAATGTAATAGTTTTCAACTGTTAATCATTTTCAAACATAGTGCTGTGTGAGTTGCTTTTGAAGTAAACCTAATTGTATGGGAGAAAAGGGAAACATTTTGTGAACCGGTCTTAAAGTTTAAGAAGATTGGCTTTGTAGTAGGCTAGCCTTTGTTGCCACCTAGTTCAATGCAAATAAATGATAGGCTGTTACTGTTTTACACCGTGATATGTTCCGAATCCAAACGATGCATCTTAAAATTGAGGCATTAAAATTGACAACTGGTCCCTGGAATTTTCTTTATGAATATGCTGGTCCCTGGCACAAAAAAGGTTGGGAACCCCTGGTGTAAGGGAGCTGACATTTCCGGGAGCTGCAGCTCTCTCTCTCTATTGGCTGAAGTCGGCGAATCCCCCAGCAAAACCCTCCTCTCGGGAAAAAGGCCAGACTTCTGATGTTTTAAAGTCTGCTTGTGTTCCTCACTCCTGTCTTAATTTTTCGTCCTTCCACCAAGAACCTGCTAGATTTCACCTCCCGTACAGCGAATAAACATAAAGGTGAGTCTTAAAATGTCATTAAGTATCATTACAGCAGCAGCGAACAGTGTAGCGAAATAGAGACGCTGCAGCGCTTTCGACGCAGAGCATATGCACGCGGTTTGTTTTTGTAATTCATAATCATAAGTTTATCGTGCATTAGAGGTATCGCTGCAGGAACGCCTCGCTGCCAATAGCTGTCTTGTTTTGTAACAGCCGCGTTTCTTATGAAACATTGCAGCGTTGTGAGACAGTAGACTGGTGGACTGCTGCATCGTCTCGATTCTCCATACGTCTCTCTCGCTCGCAGAACCGTTTGACAGGTCAGATCCAGTCGGAACCGGATACTGTTGCTTCTCCGTTCCACCAGCTGCTTTGTGTGCTGTAAGTTTTCATGTTTGTTACCTCTGAGACTGATTCTGACAAAAACAACATTAGCCACCTGTCATCCAAATGCACTCATGTATTGTACCTCATATCAACTTTGTTTTAATTGTTTAGTGTGTTTTTTATCCTTAGTCATAGTGAGTGTGTCCATAACGGCATGTTTGCCCTGTTTTGCAGTATTACAATTTTCTCGAGAAAATAAATTGCATAGAATAAGTTATTCTGTTAAATTTAAACTTGCTTTCAACCAGAAAAAAAAAATCAATTGGGTTAAACAAATAAAATAATTCAAGATATATTTTCTCATGCATTGTGTTTGCATCTGTTTCAAGGATGTCTAAATATTTTAATGGAAAACAGGAAAAAATACTGATTTGAAAAAAAAAATTGTATTGATGACCTGTAGTTGAACCATAACACATTAATATGGGATCTATTACCAGAGAAGTCTGTTTCTTTAAAACTCAAAAGGCTAATTTTGTTTGTAATATTCAGTAAGATTATTTAAAGCTTTACATATTGTGTTACAAGAAACTCCATTTTGTTCATAATCAAATATATTGACATTGTATACACAAGCTGTTGAATTTATATTTTAAAATTGTTTCCAAAACATCCATGTGAAATTTTGTTTACATGTTCAGCTGCTCTTGGTGTATGCTCTGTCATTCAATATCCAGTATCATAATCTCTCCTGCAATAATGTCCTTGATTTGCACACTGAATACAAAGGACGATTTATCCTACACTGTAAAAAATCTGTCTAATTTTCACAAAAAACAACATCAAAACTGGTAACTGTGGTTGCAATAATTCTGACAATTCTGGTATTACGGGATGGCATATTGGTGCCTGTATATTTAATAACTCCTAGCCATATGTTTCATTAATGTTAATTTACCAGTCTACTTGAAATACCAAAATCGCCTTTTTAGCATAAAAAATAGTACACTAAACACCCTAATGTAGGCCTACATGAAAAAAAATACTGTAAAAATATTAAACAAAATTATTTATATATAATCAAATGTGATGTGTCATTCAGGGACTTCTGGGAATGTACTTTTACCGTTTTGACCAAAAATTAAGGTAATTCATGTTTTTTACTTACAAAAACTATTAATTTAGAGTAAAACAGCATAATGCAATGTTAAACAATACTATACTATATAGCTATACTATCACTATACAGCTAATCAATTAAAAATTTTTTTACTGTAGCCTTTTTCTGTAAAATATCACAGATTTTTAACAGTGTAGATTTATAGCGCGAAGCTTGACAGAATAGACCTACTTAAAGGGATACTCCACCCAAAAATAATTTACTCACCCTCAAGTTGTTTCAAACCTGTATGAGTTTCTTTCTTCTGCTGAATACAACTGGCACCATTGACTTCCATAGTTAAAAAAAAAAAATAGTATAGAAGTCAATGGTGCCAAAGTTCCAATCGTTCTTCAAAATATCTTCCTTTGTGTTCAGCAGAAGAAAGTAGCTGTGCAAAAAAAAATCGATTCACATTTGAATCGCGATTCAATCTTTACCGATTCAGAATCGATTCATAGAATTCCAAAAATCGATTCATATATTTTTTTTAATGGCGTGCACGAGCGGAGTGGCAATCGGGTGAGTCGGGACTTTTACCGGTGGTGTTTCAAGGCTGCGAGGGCCGGTCTGATAAATAGTTACATTGCAAGTTCTTGCCGCCCGCTGGTCAAACTGTGCAGCCTCTCTGCTCAACCCGTGAATAAATGCATCGATCCGCAGATCTTATGTTTGAGTTCTGTAGATCTTTTTGCCAAGCGTGTCAGAGGTTACGGGTTCTTCTAAACCGCACTCGTATAGTTTTGTCTCTCTCTCATCAAAACCGAATATGTTCATCACGTTTGTGTGGATTTTATTTCGTGATTTCACCGGAACCACAACGGCGATATGAAGCGCGCGTCCGAGTGATGACTGCGCGAGCCACAGAGAACACTGTATCCATGACACATAGCAGCGGCAACGAGCGCTCAGCTTGATTTCAAAAACAACAGATCTCTTATTTAATAGCGAACTAAATGAATGCTCTGCTAGTTAACTGGAGATACCCGCAAATTACGCCTATGAACGACTTCACTGGATCTAAACAAATCAATCTAACCATAGATGTTACCAGTAGCGGTGGCTTTTTAAAATCTATTTAAAATAATTTCGCAAGGGTTCTATGACATTAGTAGCTATATATTTTTAGGAAGTTCAATGTGCCCAGTCGAGTTCACATTTCGACAGTCAACCTGGTAGCTGAAGTACTCCTTAAACCACATTTAGCATAATTGTTTGTTTGATCTGACTACAGCCCTTTAAAGCTACATGTAAAAGCTTTTTATTTAAGTTTTATTTTAAACTTGAATTAAATGTATTTGAAAGCTGGCCAAAGCTTGGCACTTTTTAGTTGCAAAAGTTTTTATTTTTGTATGATGACATATAAAGTAATATCAAACTACATTTAATTTGTTGTGGTTTTTTTCTTTTAAATTGTGTCTACTGCAATCAATCACATAGGAAAAAGTAAACTACATTTATATAGCCTACTGCGAATCGTTTTTTGAATCGAGAATCGTTTTTGAATCGAAAATCGATTTTGAATCGAATCTTGAGACAAAAAATCGGTATCGAATTGAATCGTGACATTTTCTGAATCGTGCACCCCTAGAAGAAAGTAACTCATACAGGTTTGAAACAACTTGAGGGTGAGTAAATGATGACAGAATTTTCATTTTTGGGTGGAGTATCCCTTTAAGCATTTGATTGTGGAGCAGGTTTTCGGGAATGCTGAATGTTTTTGAACCCCCCTTATGGATGACAGATTGATTTGTCTGTACATGTACAGTATGTGGGACTTGTTATTCATAGCATCTTCCCATCTGATGCTGAGCGCTTCACATGTCTCTCTCCAATTTTCAGGATGCATTTGTTGTGATTAGCCCTGGCTGCAACACTCTCTATGTCATGCTTTGTTTTAAATGAATACGCCATGCAATTATTTTTCTCGAGGTATTGATGCATAAAACCTGGCCTATTGCTTCTTAACCAAGATTTATCCTCTTAATAGCACCACAGTTTTTCCTTACAGAGGTTGATCTGTCGTCTAGACAAGAAAGACAGCCAGTTGTACAATTGTTTTCCTCCTTGGTTCTCTTGGCAACTGTCTTGCAGTATTTGTCAGATGTTTTACCTCCTCAATCCCACTGAATGTCCCCTTTTTCATGTACCATTGCTGCAGAGACTGATTAAAGACTCTTAATGTCTATTTCAACTACCTCTCAGATTTTGACTGAATCTTTTTAATAGTCATCTTTTCATTGAGCTTTCATATTCAGTATTAGAGTCTAGATTCTTATCTTTTTAATGAAATAGAGGAAAATCCTGTGAATTTTTCTTCACCACATTCGTATGAGTGAGTGTAGCAAAGAATGACTTGTGCATGACCTTAGTAGGCTGTTTAAATCATGCAGAGGGGAATTGGTGTAATGAAGTTTACCAATAGGCTTTAACAGGGTTGGCGATTGTGCGCAATGAACCGTGCTCATATTCTTCACTGACAGCTCAGTGTCTTTAGTGAGCCCAATGTTATCGCTAGCCAACGATCAAAGTTCATGTGCTGGTGATCAGGATTATGATGATTATTTCCCAAAGTGCAAACCCAAATAATCTCTGCTATCTTTATGGTCACTATGATCAGGTAAAAATCAGTTAATCACAATTTGTCATCTCTGAAGTTTAAAAATGAGCTTCACATATATGTATTGAGGATGTATTCTGTAGACTCTTTCATGTATTGTTGCTTACTTCTACTGATGTTATCTAGCTCCTTTTCCGAGGGGAGCTGCTCCCAAAAATGGTGTTACGTAACATAAGGAATAATTTGCATTTTAAAAATGGCTCCGCCGCGTTTGGTGCGGTTGCTCATTGCTCTCGTGGAGCGCTGGCTTTAGTTCACACTCTGAGCTGAGAGGATGAGGAGCAGAGGAATTGGTGGTGGCTCAGAGTTGTGTAATCCAGCACAGGCGGCTATTGTTCGCTTTGAAATGATCCCCCCGGACAGCGCCAATGCGGAGACCACTGATGAATATTGATTAGCTGAGAGAGAATCAGATGTCATGTGATGTGAGCAAAGAGTGCTGGTTTGATTTTGATGCTGAAAATGAGCAGATAAATGAACTTAGAAACCTAATGTTGGATTTCCAGTCTTTAATTGCCTTCACAGTTTCTCTTATTATTATTATTATTATTATTATTAGGGATAAATCAGCCAGTTGTTCAAATGTATAATTCCCCTACCAATATTTTCACTAATTTTACTTTTTTTCTTTAATTAAACATGTAAACTTTTTTAATTTTTGCTTTATTTAAAACGATACTCGGTTACTAACGTAACCTAAAAAGGCAGGCTCGTAGGTTGTCTCACTGGTTTCATCAGCTGAAGCGATAAGACGCTCGTGGCGCCTGCACGGTCAGGTTACGCAATACTCGTTCCCTCTTCTAGAGAGAACCGAGGTTACGTTAGTAACCGAGTATCGTTCTCTTACGAGAGGTTCTCTCGTATTGCGTAAGCTAGCTTACGCTACGGGAACCCATTGTCAACGCCGTGCGCGCCCAGCCTCCACTACATGAGTCCCAGGGATTCCCGGGGAACATAGATAAGTGGGAAACAGGTGGCCAGCAAGCAATGCGGGCCAGCACATGTTATAAGCACATCTAGGGTATACAGAGAGGCGACGCCGGTCCATAATCATTCAACCTATAGCGCAGCTCAACCAGGAGAGCTAGCGTCGCGTGAGGGGAGTCCGAGCATGATAATCCGTGCAGGACAAACCCACAGCTCACACCGACAGAAGTCTAGCCTGCAAGGCGGGAACTTCCAGGTTATAAAACCTAACAAATGTGGACGGGGAGGCCCAGCCTGCCGCCTCGCAAATGTCATGAATGGAAATTCCGCTGGACCAAGCCCACGATG